TTAAATAAATAAAAATATATCCAGTATCTTCTTTCTTCCTGACTATCCCAATAATGCACCAATTCCCAACCAAGAAGAAGGGCATTTCCTGTCTCTGCGGCAGCTCTGTGGTGTTGACCTCTGACCTCTGGTTCTCCCCCTCAATCCAGGCCTCTCTGACGACGGTAGCCCCAGGTCAGAAGCAGCACCGAAGCCTAAATCAAAGGCCCGGAAGCAGTCTGAGGACAGCCGCGGAGCTTCCACACCGGGGACGGTGAGGTCAACGAGCAGCGACAGGTAAAGAGTGAGCCCTGCTGGGGAGATGGGGGGACCTTCCAATCGCAGCCCCTGCGGGCAGGAGGCCTGTCTGCTGGCGGGGACGCTGTGGGCACCCTGACACGCCGCAGGGGAGCTCCTGGAGGCTCCCCAGAGAGCACAGCCTGCCAGGGGGCGCCCCAACAGATGGGCAACCCCACCAGCAATCTGACAAATGCTCATTAAAAGACCGCCAGGCATGTTTATAATTTGCTCTCCATATTTATTGACATAATCTTTTTAAACAAAAGGGCTCGCAGGGGTAACAGGAAAAGGCGCACCTGCGATGCTTGTGGTGGGAGCGGAACAGCTGCCCGCTCTGCTGGCAGCGCAGTGTCACAGCCAGCAACTGCTTGTCGAACCCACTGGCTTGTCCCCCAAGATCCTCTGTGTCCCTCACTCGACACCATGCGTGCTCCATGACTCCTTCCACATACATCCATGGAGGGCCTGGCACCCAGCTGGTGTGGGGACACGGAGATGGGCGGCAGGGGCTTCGCAGGCCTATGGGGAAGGCCACCGAGAATAACTTAGACGGACAGCACCCATGGGTGGCAGGGGATGCAGAGTGTGGGTTGCCATAAAGAATTTTAAAAAAGAGATAAGTGAGGGGGTGTGGGGCGGATAGGTCTACTTTGGGGGGATAGGAGGAAGGCTTCTTTGAGGAAGTAGCACTGAGCTGAGCAAGAGAGACATGGAGACACAGAGAAGGCTGGGAGGGGCTGGAGGGGTCAGCAGGGCAGGGCCTGCGGCCTGTGGCCCTGTGGCCTGTGGACCTGTGGCCTGTGGCCCTGTGGGTGGGACTTTCAGCCTTAGCCTCAGGCCAGGGAGCCACGGGAGGGGCTGAGGCAGAGTGACGGCATCACGTGGGCACTGAAGCAGGCAGAGTGCCTCACAAGCACCCCCGAGGTATCTGCCACCACTGGCCTTTGCAGCTCCCACCAGTCCAGGAGGTAGGGCAGCCGGACTGCAGGCCCCAAGCTCTGTTGGGGTGGTGGGTGACTCCTGCATGTCCCCACTACTCCCCCATGGGTGGGGAAAGACAGGCCTAGGAGCTGGAAACTGCCAGACACCAGGCCCTTCAGTGGTCTTCGCAGCGATCCTTTTCCAGCGACTCTTCTCTTCCAGGATCACATCGGGCTCCTTAGAAAGTCCTTCTCCCGCCGAAGCCAATCCCGAGGGGCAGTGCGCCCCGCCGGGCTCCGACCAGGACCCTGGGGAAGACGGAGGAGGCAGCCCCGTCAGGGGCAGCAGCCCCTTCCCGCTCACGGCCTCCTCGGACGAAGACATCATTGACTTGAAGTGAACAGAGTCCAAGTCGAGTTTTCCACCTTTCGTTTTCTTAGGGAGGTTTATACTTTCACCAGTTCTGACATCATTTCCCAACACAGCACGGCGTCTAGCCTGTCCCCTGATCTATGGACCAAACCTCTGCCACTCGCCAGTCCGGGTCGGTCTCTAGTCCCAGTGCCGTCTCTCTCGACCTTGGTTTCTTCCTGTGCAGGAAGCATCAGTCCCCTTGTAATACAGGTGGTAGATTTCATTGAGGTTTTAGATTAAAACTTTGAATAAATCAAAAAATGTTCACTCTTTCTTATGGCAGCCTTCTCTTCTATTTTATAGACTTAGGTGGGAAAATTACTTTTTTCATTCGTTTTATGTCCCATAACGTGTTTCTTTTCTAAAGAAAAGCCATTGCCTTTTAGATGTATTTTAAGTAAGTTTTCTTTCTGCTCCTTTGGCCAATTACTGTCGCAGGCCCCTGTGGCTGGCACCAGCCCCGCCTGCCCTTGGACTCCCGAGAAGAGCTGAATGCTTAGGTCCCAGAAGCGCCTGCATCTTTTTCCTTTTGTCTCTTGAAAAAGAATAAGATATAGGGAGAAGCTGAAGAGTCTCAAGATGATTTTGTTTGGGTATATTGTTCCTTTGAAATGATATAACCAGAGGACAGTTATCAAAACTAGCATTCTCAAATGCCTTCCTCTCACTGGGGTCCGCTTTGCTCTTTCACGTGGACCAAAAGATTGTCCTCTTGTTACTTATCTGCCTTCCTGTTCCCTCCTCCAAGCGAGAAGAGAATCTGGGTGTAAATGAAACAGGGAAATGTGAGCCTCCAGCCAGGACAGTTCAAAGGGGGAACCTAGTATCCCTGACATTGTAAAAGTTTAATGCGTGAAGAAGGTAATTGGCCTCTGGCATTCGTCAGACAAATCCGTTTTAGTAGCTCTCTTCTCGCCTGTACTACCCATCAAACATCAAAAGACACTTGAAATCACCTCCCCTGTTAAGTGCAGAGAGCTGTGTGACGTGACCTTGATCTGACCGTGATCATGACCTGCCTCTTCATGGGCCTTGCACGCGGCTCCCCTCCCTGCCTGCTGCACACATGGTTCAACACGATGGCAAATGCAAAGCTGAAGGCCGCCTGGGTCCCTTCGGCAGAAGGCAGGAGGCCAGAGTCAGGAAATAAATTAGTAACGAAGTAAAGATGGTGCTTTTTAAGCACGTGGGGCGCTTACAACCGAACATGTCTTCTCGGGGACTCCACAGTATTCAGCATGCCCATCCTTCCTTTGCGTTTTGTTATGCCCTTGTCACATACGGGAAACACAAAGTCGCTACATCCTGTATCTCGACCTCACCAAAAGTTTGAATAAGGTTTTATTATTGTTTGCTTTTCAAATAAGGAAACAATAGGCTCATAAAGGAACAATGATTTGAACGTGTGAGTTCTCTGGCCCAGAGCTGGGCTCTCTTCCCTGCATGCCACACAGAGCCAGGTGAGTGATGGTGTCAGTTGGACCAGGCTGGTGGTGTTCATGTTAAACTCATTTGTGAGCTTTATGCGCTCATATGGGTGTTTTCCCTGTAATTTTTCCTGCTGATGGTTCTTTCTTTAAAATATATATTTTATTGATTTTTTACAGAGAGAAAGGGAGAGGGATAGGGAGTTAGAAACATCGATGAGATCAATTAACTACATCCTCCACATCCTCTACTGTGCCGAAACCAAGGAACATGCCCTTGACAGGAATCGAACCCGGGACCCTTCAGTCCGCAGGCCAACGCTCTATCCACTGAGCCAAACCAGTTAGGAACCCCCTGGTGGTTCTTGCTTCTCAGCCTAGAACAGAAAAACCAAGGGCTTTCTAGACCATTTTTCCAAAAGATTGGGCAGTATTAGAGTCACCCCATGACTTGACTCAAGTCACAAATCTGAGGAATGAGTGTAGAAAGGACAAGAATTGGACCCTACTCATCAGGTGGATGGTGCTTTGCTATAAAGGGGGCAGGAGGCTGCTCTGGCAGCAAAATCTGCTTCATGGTCAAGAACTGAACACTCATGGGAGGAAGACCACAGCCAGGGGGCAGGAGCCAGTCTGCAGGCTCAGAGCTGGCCTAGCTGGACTCATTGGAGTATCCTGTCTGCAAAAGTCTGTCCACACACCCTACCGGCTGAGTTACAAAATAAACTGTGGGAGCAGTTTGCCCATGGAGTGTGAGTCATCCATCCACTCTGCAAACACCTGGTGCTGTCTGCAGACGATCACGTGCATTGGGGTGGGAAAGAAGTACACAGGTGATCACAAAACAGTAAGAAGTGCTGTGATAAGAGTTTATAGCTCGAGCACAAGATGCCGCGTGAGCACAAAGGGGAAGTTGCCTGTCCTTACGTTACAGTCAGATGACTGCAGAGCAAGCAGCTACCATGACCACACTGGCTAGCACTGCAGTGCTTCCACACGTGTGCTTGGTGTCTATGAACATTGCCCCTGCTCACAACACTCTTGGAAGACAGATCCAGTCTCCGTTAGAGATGAGGAAACAGGCCCAGAGAAAGATGAGAAGCTATACTCTAGATCAAGGCACAACCCCGGGGAAGGTGCCCTGACCGGGAATTGAACCGCGACCTCCTAGTTCACGCTCAACCCCTGAACCACGCCGCCCAGCAAGATGCAAGGTATTTGGATGAATATTCAAGGCAGGTTTACCTTGAAGTGAGTGGCACTTAACAGGGAGCATGAAGCTCACCGCTTACGCCATGATCAATCACACAGGCGGCATGGGGGCCCCGCCCAACACGGATCCCCAGCACCCCGAGGTCCTGGTCGTAGCGGTAGTGGGCTCTGCAGCCTCGGCAACTGGTGACCCGCAGATGGCGGGCGCGCAGGGCCACGCCTCCGCCCCCTGCAGCCCCGAGGGACCAGGCTCTGAGTCTGGGAGAGAGTGACACGCGACAGTCATTAGGAAACTCCAGCCCCGCAGCTCTTAGTGGGCAGAGCTGGGCCAGGCAGAGGGGCCAGGCTGCCCACGAGGAGCAGGAACTGCAGACCTGACTATAGCCGCAAGCCTAGGGCTACAGCCCGGCGAGGGGCTGGAAGTCCTGGGGGTGGGGCAGCTCCTTGACCCCGCCTGGCCCGCACCGCCTTCCTATTGGATAACGAACCCCGCCCCTCCTATACATTGGATAGCTCTGCCCTGGGGGCGGTTCCAGAGCGCTCCGCCTACCGTAGCTCTGCTCCCATTGGTCTGCTCTGATCTGTAGGGCGGATCCCAACGGCGACGCTACCGTGTCTTGCGTTCCCATTGGCTGCTCTCACACCCACGCCCGCGGCCGCCCAGGGCCTCCCAGGAGGCCCCGTGGCCGGCTCTGCCGGGAGAGGCCGGTGCTGCCCCGGGACCTTCGGCGCTGGCCGCCCGCGGACATGACGCCTGAGGACCAGGAGGAAAGCCAGCCGCTCCTGCGGCCGCCGGGGGGCAGGTGGGCGGGCGGGGGAACCGGGCCTGGGGCGGGGCCTCGCCCCTCTCGCTGAGCCCGAGCCGGCGCGCTCACCGACCGCCCATCCCCGCAGCGTCCCCCGCGGCCGCCGCGTCTTCCTCGCCGCCTTCGCCGCGGCCCTGGGCCCGCTCAGCTTCGGCTTCGCGCTCGGATACAGCTCCCCGGCCATCCCGAGCCTGCGCCGCGCCGCGCCCCCGGCCCCCCGCCTCAGCGACGCCGCCGCCTCCTGGTTCGGGGTGAGGCCGCGGGCTGGGACCCTCCACGCCCGCCCCCGGGACGCGCGATGGGACCCTCCCCCTGCCCTGCTCGGGGCGGACCCTGAGACCCTCCGCCGACTCCGTCCCGGTTCCCCTGCCAGCGGCCACCCAGTCCCTCCCCTCGGAGGCCGCTGGGGTGGATGGGGATGGAGGGCGAGGTTGTGCCGCGACCCCCGGGCGCCCCCTCCTCAGCTGGCGACCCCCCCCCCTCAGGCCATCGTGACCCTGGGCGCGGCGGCGGGGGGCGTGCTGGGAGGCTGGCTGCTGGACCGCGCCGGGCGCAAGCTGAGCCTCCTGATCTGCACGGTCCCCTTCGTTGCTGGCTTTGCCGTCATCACCGCCGCCCAAGAAGTGTGGATGCTGCTCGGGGGCCGCCTCCTCACCGGCCTGGCCTGCGGCGTGGCCTCGCTAGTGGCCCCGGTGAGTAGCCCCCAGCCCCCCGCCCGGGGATGGAGGAGGAGGAGGAGGAGGAGGAGGAGCAGCAGACAGACCTAGGGGCGGGCTTCCTCCGGGCCTCCTGGGTGGCCCTTATCTGCGTTATCTCCCTTACCCTGCCCTGGGCCCCAGTTTGCAGATGAAGTAAGTTTCCCAAAGTCAAGTCCTTTGTCCAGACTCAACTAGTCAGTGGCGAAGTGATTACCCAGGATTGTGCCCCCTAACTTGGCCTCCCTTTTGCTCTACAAATAAGATGGCATCTGTGGAGGGTCAACAGGAGCCTCACAGTCTGGCTTGGATCCCTCTTGGTCACCCAGACCACTGAGGTCAGTCAGCAGGAAACTCCCGCCTTGTTTGTCCTGGGGCAAAGGCTGCTGCCACCTGCCGCTCCCCTTCACTGCTCACACCCAGGGCTCCCTCGGCTTCCCTGCTTCTCTGTCAGCTCCTCACCCAGCACAGCCACGCTGGCATCCCAGCTCTGCCACTCCTGGGCCTCAGTTTCCCCCCCTGTAAGTGAGAATGGCAGGTCACCCCATGCAGTGGGCGAGGAATCGGAGAGACAGGAATCACCAGTCCTGTCCTGGCTTATGAAGGACTCGGATCCTGCAGCTGGGATTGCTGGTGACAGGGAACTGCTGCTGGCCATGGGCTGGGATGATCCACCCACACCGCAACCTGATGGAGAATGAAAGCAGGGGCTTGGGTTTCTCCCTGGCCATCCCTTGGCACCTGCCGCTCATGTCACCTGGGTTTGCTGGGCAGCTGAGTTGGATTTTATGTGTGGGGCTTTTTACTGGGCAAAACCACACGTAAGCCGTGGGCACAGGCCTGGAGTAACCCAGCGGTAAGGGCGAGGCCTCTGGCCTCTGAGCACAGTCACTGATCACCACTAAGGTGAAGGGTTCCTGCTCTGACTCCAAGGGCTCCACGCAGCAGCGTGCACCTGGAGCTACTAGAAAGGCAGATTCTCAGGCCCCACCCACACCTATGGCACCAGCCTTCGGCTTATCAAGGGCAATGATACAATTAAAGGAAAATGTGCAAAGCTCTGTGCCCACCCAGCCATCACCCTACACACAGCAGCCACATAGATAGCCTTACCCCTTTAAACACCTGTGTAGATCACGGGTGGGAGCGGAGGTCTGAGGAAGGCTCTGACTAAAGACAGGATAAGTCCAGCTCCCAGAGGACTCTAGGAAGGCTCATTGACTTTCAGTGAGGTGCCCACAGGGCCTGTAGCTCTCCCCTGAACTGCTCACAGGTCTACATCTCTGAGATCGCCTACCCGGAAGTGCGGGGGCTGCTGGGCTCCTGTGTGCAGCTGATGGTCGTCTCAGGCATCCTCCTGGCCTACCTGGCAGGTAAGAGCTCTCACGTCTTCTCTTTGGATCCCTGTTCGTGGCCACTTGGCCACCTTAAAGCCACGGAAGCTCAAGTTCAGGAGAAGTCACAGGAGTTGCCTGAGGTTACACAGCCAGAGCCCGAGGTGCTGGGTAGCCAGAGCCCCTCCCTCCCAGAAGCATGGGGTGTGACTCGGTTCCGGGAGAGCTGACGAAGGTGTGCTCATCCTCCTAAGCAGAAGCCCATCCCCAGGGTCTGGGAGAGCTGGCTGCGTAGATCAGTACCTCTGTGCAATGACAGGCAGGATTCAAGGGGAAGCCGGGGCACCCCAAAAATCTTCAGCCCAGGCGCTCGGGCCCAAGCATGTCTCCCTCAGAAACATCAGTACTGGATTTGCAGCGGGAAGGAGGTGGGTTCCGGGGGACCCTGAGGGCCAGAGCTGGGCCAGCATCAAAGACAGCGTGTTTGCACCAGAACGGGGTAGAGAGGCAGGGCTCCTACCTGGCAGTCCCCAACAGGGAGGACCTCTGCCCCTTACTGCTGCACGGCCTGGGCCTGCTCAGCCTCCGGGAGCTGGACTTTCCCTGTCTGAAGGTGGAGAAAGCCCACCTCGTCCAAGGCTTTTGAGGGTTTAATGAAATGACACGAGAAGTGCCTGGCAGCAGGCGCCCAGTGAGAATGCCTAGGGATGGCCGGAGAGCATGGTGAGGGCAGGGAGCTGGGGCTTTTGGGCCTGATGGATGTGGGGGGCCTGGCCTGTGCCCTGTGATTGGCAGGCCCGTGGTCTTTCTTTTCACTCACTTACCATCCTGACTAACTCAGAGTCCTGGCAGCAGTCTTGTGCCAAAGCCCTGTGTGCACACATTGAATGTGGAGCAGACATGGGGTCACATTATCGCCAGTTCCCAGGACTTCCGACGCTCTGGTGTTCAGGGAAAGGTCCCCACCCTGTGCTGCTGCGGCTCCAGGCAAACCAGTCTGGCCTGCCTCTGGTGGCCTTCCAGAGCGTCTGCACGAGGACTCAGGACTGTGCCCAGTTGTTCCCCCCAAACTGTTACACAAATGGCCATGGCCTAGCCATCATTACAGAGCCAGGCCTCATTCTTTGTATAATGGCTATGTACATATTCAAGAGCCAAAGTAGATAATGAAGTGCCCGTCTCACGTCTGCATTTCGACAGTAACCAGTGTCAGTGACAGACTACAGAGGTCGGTAGGTCCCCACCCTTTAAGCTGAGCCCCTGGGTTGGTGAGGGGCCGGCTCCCTCAGGCTCTGACATCTGTCCCCATGCAGGCAGGATCCTGGAGTGGCGCTGGCTGGCCGTGCTGGGCTGTGTGCCCCCCTCCTTCATGCTGCTGCTTATGTGCTGCATGCCCGAGACCCCGCGCTTCCTGCTCACTCAGCACAAGCACCAGGAGGCCCTGGCTGCCATGCGCTTCCTGTGGGGCTCTGAGCAGGGCTGGGAAGAGCCCCCTGTCGGGGCTGAGCACCAGGTGAGGGGCTGGGAGGTGGAGCTGGGGGGAGGGGTCAGGGAGCCGCTCCCACGGATGTAAGTGCACGCACACAAACACACACTCAGTGTTGTCCTGTGTGCCAGCAAGCAGAGCCCCGCTCCTTGGAGGGCCCAAGCCTTGAAGGTCACGGGGAAAGCCTGAACCTTGGTCTTCCTGAAGAGAAAGGCCTGGTCGGGGCCGGGGACCCGCAGGGTGGACTTGGGGACTTGGTTTTTATGGAGGCAGGAGACAGGGGGTTGAAAATTGAGTCTCTGCCACTTACCTGCTGGTGACTGTCCCACTGCCGAGCCGTAGCTTCTGCGTGTAAACAGGAGTCAGCACGTGCTGCTGCGGGGCCGGTGCAGGTGGTGAGGAGTTGGGCCCAGGCCTGAGGCGGTGGGATTCTGGAGCCCCTGGCCTTTGGCCCATGTGCTCCCTTTGTGCCCCCCACCCACCCTGAAACCAATCAGGAGGGGATGCACAGTGAGGACCTTCCGCTTACAAACGGGGAGGCTGTAGTGGCGCAGAGACCGGTCTGCGGACCCAGCAGAAACTGAGGCTCCCGCCCTCCTTGGAGCAGGGCGCCTGGGAGAGGGCAGAGCAGCACTGACGCCCCCTCTGTCCCGCAGGGCTTCCAGCTGGCCCAGCTGAGGCGGCCCGGCATCTACAAGCCCTTCGCCATCGGCATCTTCCTCATGGTCTTCCAGCAGCTGTCGGGGATCAACGCCGTCATGTTCTACGCCGAGACTATCTTTGAGGAGGCCAAGTTCAAGGTTGGAGGCCTCTGCCTCATGCAGATGCCACTTAGGTGTGGCCTCGTCCCCGGGCCTCTGCCTGACCCGCCTGTGCCCATCTCCCCAGGACAGCAGCCTGGCCTCCGTCATCGTGGGCGCCATCCAGGTGCTGTTCACGGCCGCAGCCGCCCTCATCATGGACAGAGCTGGGCGCAGGCTGCTCCTGGCCTTGTCAGGTGAGGCCCGTGCTCAGCCTGGGCGAATGGGTGACCCCGGCCAGGCTCCCCACTGCAGGTTGGAGGGTCTCTCCCAAGGCCACCACGTGGTGGGAGGAGGAGGACAAGTGTCCCTGAGAACAAGACTGAGATTTAACGGGAGCCCTCGCTGCAGGCCGGGCCTGCGCTCACGGCGTCCACCTCACAGTAACCTTTGCCATGAACCTGCCAGGAAGGTGCCATTGGGCATAGCTGACAGTGAGGAGACGGAGGGCCCTGGAGGGGAAGTGGCTCGGAAGCTCATGGGTTTTGGGGCCAAGTGACTTGACCTCTCTGAACCTGTTTCCCTCCGAATGGGGGTAGAGGGGCCGTTGGGAGGCTTGGGAGCTGAGTGGGTACTGCTCGCTGCCCCCCTCCGAGGTGTCCAGGCCACTTGGCTGTGGCCATGCTGGGCTGAGACTCCTGCCCGGGGAGCCTCATGCCCCAGCACCGCCCCCCTCCCCCCCCTGCAGGTGTGGTCATGGTGTTCAGCACCAGTGCCTTTGGCGCCTACTTCAAGCTGATGCAGGGCAGCCCCGGCAACTCCTCACACGCCAACCTCCTGGCGCCCGTCTCCATGGAGCCTGCCGACCCCAGTGTAGGGCTGGCCTGGCTGGCGGTGGGCAGCATGTGCCTCTTCATTGCTGGTGAGAGGGGGCCTGTGGGGAGGTAGGGTAGGGTTCGCCCTGTCACTGCTGCATTCCAATGGCTCCCAGCAGGTCCGGGCCTACCTGGCCCCACCTGTCCATAGAGGTCCCAGTCTGCGTTTATAGCTCTGGCCATGGGCCCAGCACCCAGCTAGCCCTCCTCTCCTCCTCTCAATCCCCCTGAGTGTAAGAAGCAGAGGGCCTGGCCTGCCACCTCCCAACAGGAAGACAGAGGGAGAGCCCAGCCTGGCATCCAGGCCAGACTTCAGCCCCCAGGGCTGCAGGGAGCCGCAGGGTCTGGTCCCTGCGGTTCTGACACCGTGTCTTGTTCCGCAGGCTTCGCTGTGGGCTGGGGGCCCATCCCCTGGCTCCTCATGTCTGAGATCTTCCCTCTGCATGCCAAGGGCGTGGCCACCGGCGCCTGTGTCCTCACCAACTGGCTCATGGCCTTTCTGGTGACAAAAGAGTTCAGCAGCCTCATGGTGAGTCCAGGCCCTGGCAACCTCCCGCTCTGGTCAACAGAGAAGTGTCTTAGATGGTTTTCTTCGAAAAAAGACTCAGCGTCAGTGAATGGCCCTGTGTGCAGGCCGCCCCACCCTCCGGGGACATCAGCCGTCTCTGTCAGGGGTGAGGAGAGTCAGGCTGGACCATCGGGAGCCTTCGGGCTGTCTTGGTGAAGGACAGCAGGGAGGCCTCCCCCCCTGCATGTTGACCCAGGTCGGGAAGCAGGGCTGTGGGGAAGGTCCGGCTGTAGGGTCCTCAGGCCTGGGCCACCCGCTGCCTGGGCCACCTCCCTGCTCAGGGGCCTTGCGTGCTGCTGACCTCTGAACCAGCTTCCTTGGCTGGGCATGGAGGAGGGTGTACCTTCCTCTAGGGTTGATGGGAGCATCGGTTCAGTTCAACATTTTGCTACCTTTTCATGGATAGACCTGACACAGACCCGGCCCTGCCTAAGGGACTTCCCAGCCAATGGGATGGTGTTAGAGCAGACAGACAAGCATTTGCTAGGTCATTTGGCACCCCACCCCCACCCCCCCTCCTCATTCCCCAGGTCTCCTGGTACATACCACCTCCAGGCTGTTCACGGCGCCAGAGAGCAAAGGAGGAATGAGATGGATAGGGTCACCTTTGTGATAAGGGCTGGGACAGCAGTGGACAGTGGGGGGAGAAAAAGCCAGGAGGCTGGGCTGGGGCCGGGATTCCCAGGGTCGGCCTGGAGTCTGTCCAAGGTGTGGGCCCATCAGGCAGCTGCCCCAGGGAGGGAGGGACAGCTAGGGAGGGAGGGTGTGTGCTTCTGGGCTGGGAGGATGGACAGGCTCTGCCCAAAGGGAACTGCTGTCTTCCCTCCACGCCTGGGCCCTGAGTGCCTGTGTGCTCACTGCCCATCTCCCCTGCTGTTCACTCACCCGTTCCCTCCGGTCCCTCGGAGGACAGGGCCAACGCCAGGTGTAGAGGGAAGGTGTGTGGGCCAACCTGGAGTCCGACCCCGGGAGAGAAGCCAGCTGCCACCTGGTAGGGCATCTCTACTGGGGCAGCCGCTTCGTCACAGTGAGCCTGCGTGTCCCCAGCCCCCACCGCCCGTCCCGTGGGCCGCGCTCAGCCTGGGCAGCGCAGGAGGGTGGTCGCGAGGGTGCTGCTGCCTTCTCAGTCACTGGTGCTTCCCCTCTCTCTGCAGGAGGTGCTCAGGCCCTATGGAGCTTTCTGGCTCGCCTCCGCCTTCTGCGCCAGCAGTGTCGTTTTCACTTGGTTCTGCGTCCCGGAAACCAAAGGGAAGACTTTGGAGCAAATCACAGCCCATTTTGAGGGGCGATGACAGCCCTTCCCAGGAGTTTGGGCTCCGAGGGGACAGAGCCTGTCTGTGACTTCAGTTCAGGGAGCCAGGATCCAGGACCTCAGCTGCTCACGGCCTCATCCTCCAGATCCCTCCCTCCTGCTCAGCTCCCTGCAGCCCCACGAGCCACACACATGAGGTTCCCAGTCCCGGGGCCCAGTTCCCACCGCTGCTCTGAGACGGGAGGAGGGGACATCTCGGAGGGTCTTCAGTGCCTGTGGCCAGGCCTTCTGTGCTCTCCTGTCATGATATGAAGCGACAGTGGAGGTGGGGGACGCTTGGTTCCTCACCTTCTGCAGGAGGTGCCTCTGGAGGCTGGGTGGCGGCCCATGGCCTCCCAGGAAGGCATTTGTTTGCTAAATAAAGACTTGACTCAGAAAGTCAGCTCCCGGCGCCTCTGTGAGCCACAGTTGAAGAGGGCAGTTTCCTGTCCCATAAGCCAGCCCTCTGAGAACCTCTGGGTGTTAACTTCCCGTTCCATATCCTGCTGTACTGACTTCCCAGGTGGGCAACCCCGGTGTGCGCCCACCTTGGCACTGTATGTTAAGCTGCAGTGAGGCTGGAGAGCTGGGCATTGGCTCAGAGCACAGCGGTGGGGAGAACAGGATGGGACCCCAGGTTGGTTTCTGGAAGATCATGCAGCAGCTCTCCAATTTCCCTAAAATGGGACAAGTAATACACAGGACAGCTCTCACCTTTAGCAAAATCCAAATTCCTAGGGCCGTCCAAGTGTAAGCTCAACTTCTCTGAGGATAATTGCACATCTACACCGTCATTAGTGCTGCATGTGGCCACTGGCTGGGCTCAACCACACTGTCATGGCGGCGAGTGTCCTACAAATGCCAACTTGTTTAGCGTGGGTCAGGTCTCCAACATCCTGACCAGTTTCCTGTCTGCTTGTTGTACTGGCTATAGAGAGAGAGCTGTCGAAATCCCCACCTGCACACGTGGCCAGCTGGGGCTGCTTCAAGCTACTGTTTGTCCTGCACCCCAGAGGGTTATACGCCGGCTGGACAGGGGCCTGCTCCCTGCCATCCCAGTATCTGTTCTCAGTGAGTCAGCACCAAAGACAACTCAGTGTAACAGGTCACCCTCTCTCCGCCACCTCCCAGAGGACAGGACTTTGCCCTGGAAACTTCTTTCAATGGAACTTCAAGCAGAGGCTGTTTCCAGGTCCTGCTTGGCCATCCCCAGCCTCTGCAAATGGGGATTGGCAAAGGACCAGAGGGAAGGCAGGGGATGGCTCACACACCTCCCTCCCCCCAGGCTGCAAGGGATGATTAAACTTGTGGGCAAGAACACCTCATGGCTTCAGTCCTACTGTGGTCCCTTTCCTCCAATCTAGGGCTTAGGAGCTGTGGCAGCATGGTAAGAGCCAGTGGACTTGGTTCCATTTCTAGTTACACTACTCACTATGTCACCTGTGCAAGTACTAAACCTCTTGGGGTCTCAGTTTATTCATCTGTAAAATGGGCATAAAGATGTTGTCTCCCTCATAGGATTGTTGTGAGGATGAAACCATTATGTCAAGCACTTAGAACTGAGGATGTCACAGAATAAGTGTTTGGTTGCTTTTAACCGGTGGTGGTGGTGGTGGTGAGGCTGTGGAGAAGCAAAGCTAGTTTGGTGTCCAAGATGTGCCTCTGGAAGGGACATGTGAAATATTTACACATTTTTCTCTTTGTATTCCATTTCCTACCCAGCTCCCTCAGCAACTCCTACCCAGACCACCTTCTGGTTGCTATCAGTACCCACTTATAGGTACCAAGGACTGTAGACCCACAGGCTCTTCAGAGATCCCCTGAGATTGCCTTGGAGCCTTCCCATTGGGGCACAAGATGGGAAGAACCTGCCCCAGCTGGCAGTCCAATACCTGCCCCATGAGCCCAGCCCAGCACTGTTAGACACAGGACCATAGAGAAGAGGAGCAGGATAAAGCATTCCCACAAGAGAGGTCCAGCAGAAGCTGTGCTCTGCCCAGCCCACATAAGACAGGTCTTTGTACTGGATAACGGTAGGAGTCTACACTGCCTGCCAAGAGTCACTTCATCTCCATCTCATCCTGCTCCCCATCCTCCCACCCCAACAATTCAAAAGAATCCTGGCTTCTGAGAACCTAAGGCAGGGCATCTGGGTCCTATCGCCACCCGGTGGCCACATGGGGAATTGCATCAACTGAAGCCTGAAGTTCTGTGCTTCCTCCCTGGGGCCATGGGTAGAAAACCCTCTGCTACCGCCTAGTGGCCAGTGTGGGATTAGCACTTGTTGGGCCTGTGGCTGCAGGCAGAACCTCACCAGCTGGAAGCAGTCAAAGGTCAAGGAATGTAGGCAGCCCCTGGAAGCTGGAAGAGGCAAGGAAGCAGATTCTCCCCTAGAGCCTCTGGAAGGCATGGGACCCTGCCAACAGCTTGATTTTACCCCAGTGACATCCATCCCAGACCTCTGACCTCCAAAATTGTAAGGCCGAAATTTCAGAAGGCAAAAGTAGGAATGGGCTTATCTTAAAGGGATCTGAATATGATTTGCCTGATGGAGTTAAGCCAGTCAGGTTCATAGAGGATTCAGCAAATTAAGAGGGTTATGTTGGCAAAAACGCAACCAGGACAGCACAACGTGGAAAGAGGCCTTAGGACCCCTACACTCATTTCCGCTCCCCAGGTAACGCATCTTATTCTCAAAATGCCTCTAAATCGGAGAATTGCTTGGGTGGTGAAGAACTGGCATCAATGCTCTGAGGAAGTCCACTGAAATATCCCCTGACTCAGCAGGGAATCCTCCAAGGGACAGAAAGCTCAGGAATCTCCTTTTGCAACAGTGCTGACTAAACACTAAGTGTGTTTCTGCCCCTGAAACCACAGAAGAGGTTCCCTCCTGCCCATGGATTTTATACTTGGAGAATTCCCGGTCCCCAAGCGGCGGCAGCCCCGTTCACACTGAGAGGCTCGAGGACCGTGAAGGTGTCTGGAGCTGGGCCTGAGTTGAAGGCCCTGGAAGGAGAAAAAACAGCTGCTCCGGGGACGCGGCCCCTGAAAAAGCAGGAGTCCAGAGCCAGTGACCTGTTATCTGCGCAGAAACGACTCCCAGGATGCTTAGCGCCAAGCCGCTTCCTGTCTCAGGCCCCGGGCCTTGGATTCTGGTGGACCGAGAGCATGTGCCACATAGCATGATGGGAAATGGATTGTGGGAGCGAGACCTGGCAGAAGCCTCGCTGGGCAGCAAGACGAGGAGAACAGGCGTTGGGCCGGAAGAGAGCACAGAGATTTCGGGGGAATAGAGGCTAGAGGGGCTGGAAGGCCAATGCGCATGACCGGAAGTGATGGTGTTTATCACGCGCGTGCTCCCTCGCGAGAAGAGGACCTGGCGTTGGGCAGATTTTCAGCCGTGGTTTGTTTGAGAGCGAGACCCGAGCCGAGGCCTTGCGTGGCTGGGAGGCAGTGACAGACCCGGCTGCACAGCCCCCCGGAGGTCCCGGAGCCCAGCCCCGCAGGCTCTGACCGGCCTGGAGGGAAGGCCTGAAGGCCGAACCCCTAACCCTGACCTGCAGAGCGGGCGGCGCCCAGAGAACTGCTGGGAGGCGCTGGGTCTGGTGACACCCACAGCTGGAGGAAGGTGAGCGGGGAGGGAACGGTTTGCAGATGCAGCCTCTGTCCGGCTGGCCCACTATCGCCGCTGTGCGACGCGGCCCCGAGCCCTGCGGTTGTCCTTTGCACTGAGGGCCGATCTTTTAATAAAGAATTCTGAGGTCAAACAGTCTGAGGAGCTCAGCCCTGGATAATCTGATTATCCAACCCCTCGCCCCTGGGACGGGCTCAGGGTCCCCTCCATTGCTTCCGATCTCCCAGCTCTTGTGGCAGCCAAGGGTCCTCGGAACAGGAGCCCATTGACTCCACCTGAGACCAGGGCGGGTTGAACCCAGCTGACTGTGAAGTTGCGGAAGGTACTGGGCATTTGGGATCAGAAATCCTGTTAACCTGTGTTTATTTAGGAAAGGGCAAAATAGCATTGAGTCATTGTGTGTCATGGGTACTGGTGTGACGGCTGCATAGGCTTTTATGTATATAGATAACACTGTGAACATGTGTGCACAAGTTTTTGTGCGGACCCGTTTTCATTGCTCTCGGGTGTATGCCTGGGAAAGGGACTGCCGTGTGCTATAACTTTCTAAGGAGCTGCCAAACTTTTCCACTGTGGCTGCACCGTTTCACATTCCCAGGGGCAATGTATGAATGTTCCAATTTCTCTACACCACTATATTTTCTTCTGGAAGTTTTAGCTTTTACATTAGTTCCTTGGTCCATTTTGAGCTCATTAGCAGTATAAGGTAGGGGTCTAACTTCAATCTTTTATTGATTTTCAGAGAAGGCAGAACATCCATTTGTTGTTCCACTTATTTACACATCCATTGGTTGATTCTTCTATGTGCCCTGACCGGGAATCAGCGGCTCTACATTCTTATGTGGATGTTCAGTTGCCCCAGCACCATTTTTTAAAAAGAATATTTTCTCCATTTAATTGCTTAGTACTCTTGAAAATCAGTTGTTCATCAAATGTGCTTATTTCTGGACTCAGTACTTTTCAATTTATCTTCATGACTGCCCTTATACCAGTACAATATTTTGATTGCTTTTATATAAAGTGTTATGTTGCAAACGAGTCCTTCAACTTAGTTCATTTTCCAGATTGACTGTTCTGGGTCTTTCACATTTCCATAAAATTTTAGATTTTTTTTTTTTTATAAAAATAAATAAATAAATAAAAACCAGCTAGGATTTTTAAAAATATATATTTTATTGATTTTTTACAGAGAGGAAGAGAGAGGGATAGAGTTAGAAACATCGATGAGAGAGAAACATCGATCAGCTGCCTATTGCACATCCCCTACTGGGGTTGTGCCCTCAACCAAGGTACATGCCCTTGACTGGAATTGAACCCAGGACATTTCGGCCCAGCTAGGATTTTGATAGGGATTGCACCAACTTAAC